GGGGCAGATGTGGGCCGGGGCCACTACAGTCCTCTAGCCCAGGTCAGTCGGGCAGCACCTGGGCAGGTGCCCCTCTAGGTCATGAGAGAATAGCGGTGTCTTTGGGGCTGGGGCTGGCAGAGTGCTTTGCTCACGGTGCTTGGGGCGAACTTTTTTTTTTAAAGAAAATCAATAAACATATATCGACATCTACTTCACTAAGTTCAAACACAGCAGCATCTAAAAGATGTTTGAAAACAAAATCAAGGATCAGCGTTCCTAAGGCATGCAGGAAGTAAACCATGTTTCAGAAGAAGCCAGGCTTATGCTTTAAAATCAAAAGGGCTTTCTATTTCCGTGTGTTTAATACCAGGTTTTGGTTATTTTATTTGTAAATATTTTTGCAAATTTGCCAAAAACATGGAAAAGTTCCTGGTGTCAACAGAAGCCGAGCAGAAGCCCGTCTTGGGTAGAGGCAGCTGAACACGGGCAGGTGACGACCCCTCCACCCAGCCAGGCTGGCTCAGAGCCGCGGCCACAGCTCCCCTGTCCTCCCTCACAAGCCACTCCCAGATTCCAGGAGGATCTCCTGGCAGCTGACCAAGCCCTCTCCATTTCCTTCTCCCCACCTCTCAAAAGCAGCATTTTTCTAAACCCATTTCTAAAACATGGAGTGCAGGAGAGTGCCCGGAGAGAAGGGGCCTTGTGGTCCCAAGCTCAGCACACATCCTGTCCCCACATTCCCGAGACACGACTATAGGTGCACAGCGCATGTCCACGCCATTCCACAGGGCAGCGCCCGGCCACAGGACTGCCATCGCCTGCCGCCTGAGCAATGGGCGCACAGCTAAAACTGGCTCACACCTTCCCTCAGGTGTGCCTTCTCTCAGTCCCTGCTACCAACATGATGATGATAATAAAAATAATAATAATAATAAAATATTCTATACTTCATTATTATTAATAAAATAATTTTTAAAAAGGACCAAATTCTTGTATTCTCTTATTAGAAAAGGAAAAATTTGCATTTACCTGCTACAGATGAGCTTCTACAAAAAGTTAAGTCCCGCCTGAAGTCCAAAAGGAATCTGATCTGGGCTGCTCTAACCTCCCCGAAGTCATTTCAGTCTGTTCTGCTCACGGACTAAAGCTATCAGAATTACTCCCTGCAACATACAGCTTCCTTCCATTGGGGCCCAACACACACACACACACACACACACACACACACACACACACACTATTCTACAATGCTTTTAAGAGGAGAGGAGAGGAGAGGAGAGGAGAGGAGAGGAGAGGAGAGGAGAGGAGAGGAGAGGAGAGGAGAGGAGAGGAGAGGAGAGGAGAGGAGAGGAGAGGAGTAGAAGTCCCATAATGTAATTGCCATATTAAAAAGAAGAGTCAGGCAAGAATAATAAGGGAGGTGTCAAAAAAGAAATACAGTAGTAGACTTAAAAACACCCCACAGTTCCGTGATGGGGGTGTTAATTGAACACAGCAAAGGGAAAGAGAGAGAACAAAGGGGGTTGAGGAAGCAAAAAATAATTTTTTAACCTCCTCCAATTATTCGACTTAACTTCAGTGCAGATTATGCACTGAGGGAAATTGGCTGAAAAGCACCATATATAGCTATTACATTCTAAAATTAAAAGCTATTCACAACAATTGCAACTACTCGTTGCTATCTATAAATATTCTTCTTAGTAAATGACATCTATTTTTTTTTCTTTTTGCAATTTTTAAACCTGCATGATTTTGACCCAGAAATAAAAATTTAAAAACCATGCAATGTTTAAAAATATATTCTGAGTCTTTTTTTTTCTTTCTTTCTTTCTTTCTTTCTTTCTTTCTTTCTTCCTTCTTCTTTTTTTTTTTTTTTTATTAAAGAAATGCAACGTGTTGGCTTTTCTCCTCTTCCCTTGCACCCGCCAGCCCGGTTGCCACCCCATACACCTGTGTATACCTGAGCTCCCTGTATCAGGAGACCAGGAACCGTTCTTTAAAAAACAAAAGAAAACGTGCCACTAAATGGCCCAAGACTGCATGTCGAGTCTCTGGGTTCCCGAATGAGTGTGCAGATAAAAGCCACTTGAAATCTTCACATCGTGGTCTTGACAGGGCTTTCTTGCTGCTGTCTGGAATATGCTCCCTGAGCTTTTTTATGGCTTTCTTTTATCTTGGCATTTATTTTTAAAAAGCAAAAAAAGTATCAAAATAAAAACTTGTGCACACTCTGAAGCCAGCAGGCACAGGGTTCTTCTTTTTCAAGGGTCCCCACCGTAATTTCTGGCTTAAACACCCATCAATCAACTGTAATTCAGACCCGCTGCCTACCTCAGGTATGGCGCCTGTTTTTGAAAGTTCCAAAAGGGGGTAAGACGCGCCATTCACTCCTGAGTCTCCCAACTAAAGTCACGTACAGAAACCTAAAACCAAAAGCAGGGCTGGACGGGCCGGCCGGCTCCCGGGCAGAGCTCTGAAGGCCAGGCCGACGTGTGAACTGCAGGTCAGAGTAGAACAAGTGACCAGCCCATGACACAGGCGACCTCGGCAGGGCTGGGTGGAGCTCAGGAGCCCTGTTCCCACCAAAGGGCTTGAAGGCCAGGCCCGGGAAGGGCCAGGCACAGGAGGCGGGAGCTGCTGGCTGGAGCCGCCTTCCATGTTTCTAGCTCAGCACCAAGAGGGCAGAGGGGGCTTCACGTAGACTTACACCAACCCCACGGAGGACACGGAGGACACGCTGGCCTGGGGCAGGGGTCTGCAGCCTCTGAGAGCCCAGAGGTGGCTGGGCCCCTGGAGGATCACCCGTGGCTGACACCTACCTCCAACACAGCTCTCGGTTCCCCAGCAGCACCCCTCCCCTCAGCCCCTCCCCACTCAAGTTGAAGGCCAGGAGGGGGACGTTTGCTCTCTTTCACTCAAGGTGTCCCCTCAGTCGCAAACTCCGTGTGTGCGACGCCTGTGTGCATGTGCGCGTTTCTCTCTTAACGGAGGGCACAAGTACCTTTAAACTTTTGATTTACATTATTTTATAAGCTATTTTCTAAGTACCTTATTCTAGACACAACACACACAACTTAGATATTTTTTTGAATTTCCAAACGTGAAGTGTGTCGACATAAAATTTTAGAAACCAAAATATGTATTCCAACCATAAATGGCATCTTTAAAATGTTATTTAGGCCACCACACTTGCTTTGCCCCTCCAGGCCGTAGCCCGTAACAACAAGGCGCCAACTCCTGACCCCCACCTGACTCCCACCCACCCACTTTGATCTACTGCCTTGGTAGGTTTTAATGACGAGGCTAGAATGGAACACTCTTGCCACAGTGCACATTAAGTGCCCTGACAGGCTGCCTCTCAATGAAAATCTGAAAAAAAAGTATCTTCAAAAATAAACTCTCTCCGTCTGGACTGTTACATATTTCTTTCTATTTGATTCTGCATTTTATGATCCAAGATCAGAAGAAACTCATACTTAATTAGAAGCAAATTTTAACAGACCCAGCATTAAAAGTGAATGAGCATTATTGATCAAAGAAAAAGGAAGACAAAAGGAGAGAGGAGAAAAATAGAGACATATATATACATTTACTCCTGAGGGGAAAAAAAACTAAAAATGGTTACAAACTGAGAAAAGCCCTTGTGATATTCGTAGGCACAATCCATGAGTCTCGTAAGAAGTGCCTCCCAGCCAAAAACTGCAGCTAGCCGTTTTGCAATAGGTCCCCCACTGGCAAGGCGGCCTGGAGGACAAGCAGGTCCAGGCAGCACGGCCCAGGTGCTTTGTCTGGATACCAGCACACCGTAAAGAACACCCAGCAAAGAGCGGCTTGCCGATTCCACGTACATTTGAAGCCCAAGTAATCACGAACTCAATCCACAATCACATCTTGAAACTATTTATTTTTTAAAGGAGAAACACAGAAAGCTCCCCCCAAAAAAGCCACCTTGGCGCTGGCCCTCCCTGCCCCCTTTCTGTGTGACTATCAATGTATATCAACTGGGCATGCCATCATATTTATTGTCACTTTCATTCATGTCATGCCCTTGTTTATATGGTTTAGATGTGAATTATTGACTGTTGCAGTCCTTGTTGTAAAAAATAAATAAATAAGTAGGATGTCAGGTACTTTGCGCTGCTTCAAAGGGAGCAGGAGGCAGAGTCCAGCAGAAGCTGCCCCAGTATGTAGCCAGGTCTCTCATCTCTAGGCATGGCTTCAGATGGCCTCTTTCTCCTTACAAGGGAGAAATTTAGCCACTTTGGAAAATTAAGGATTAAAGTAAACAAACAAGAGGATGGTGCTAAATGTCCTTCCCACAGCACCTGCTGTTTAAGAACATCTCTGATTGATGACTGCTATTTTTTAATTGTTGCTTTAAAATTTAAATGCCCTCCTGGGGTGTGTTCTAAGTGTGTTAGTCCATGATGTGAGGCCTAGAGAGTGGAACAAGAGCCAGAGCTCTCTAGGCAGTGCGCTCTATACCTCTCACCCACTAGGAAATCCCAGGCCAAGGCGGAGAGGTACTTTTGGAAGGCGCTTCCCACAAAGGTATCTGACAACACTTTCTGTTGACAGCCTCTAGCCCGATCTTTGTATAAGTATAAGCAAAAGAGGGGGAAAAAGAAACTTTAAACAATTCCGCCCCAGCCCAACGCCACAAAATAAATTGGGGTTTTAATTATGGGCCAAAGTACATTCTTTCGGGAAATGGACACTTTCATATTTTTCCCCAAAGACACACCATTCTACGAATTTTCCTTCAGAACCTACGTTTTAGCCTCAATTTCCAAAAGGGTGGAGAAAGAGTTAAGGAAAATAAACCTGTACTACTGGAAAACAACGTCAGAGAAACTGGATTCCTTCTTTACAGAAAGCAGGAGGAGGACTTGGTATTAGAGATTGGGCAATCAGCACTTTCATCCTGAAATTCTAATTTTAAATACGACATTCATGATTGCAGTTAAGTGATTCAACTGGCCGAAGAAAATGCCAAAATATTGGATTCTCATTCCTACCTGTTTTCTCTTTGATTTCACACAACACATTAAACAAGGCAGGCTTCATTCTGTGGCAGTTTAAAGCATGTTTTCTGTAAAAAAAACACAAAAACAACAACATGGTAGCTTAGGTGGGCTCCCAACACCAAACTCCTGAGATGGCACAGGGGAAGGGGAGCACTCAGCCAGAATCATACACCGAGCCCAACCCTGCGGCACGCTTCACTTGTTTTTATGACGTAATATGCGAAGTCCCGCCACAGAAAAAGAAATAATGCTAATTAGCAGTGAGAGAGTAGGGATTTAACTACAGAACAGAACTAACCTAAATTATGCCCATTTAGGGAATTTTTAAAAGTAGTGTAATCAAAGTGGAATTTTGAAACCAATCATCCCTTACAGGACTGTGGATGCACAGAGCCAAACACACAGGTTAACAGTTTTGCAAAATCCACGCGGTGACCACAGCCTAGAAGCTGCCTGCTTCTCCATCTGCGTGTGTTCAAATTTAATTCATCCATGTGTTTGAATTCATTCCGCAGATGCCCCTGTATTCTCATAAACACAAGATGCTTGAAAGGTCTTCTGAGCAGAACTGTCAATTTATAAAATTTCAGTCCCCAAGTTAAAGAGTATGGAAATGCATTGCCAGGGGGCAAACATACCCATATGGGGATAAATTCATTTCTCTGTGTTCACATTACGTCTCTTGTGCACACACTGCTTATTTGCAGGTGTTGAAATTCAATTATTTACAATTAGGACCTTCCACCCATTGGGGAAAAAATAAATACAATTTTGCCTTTTAGATTAGCGATTGACCTGGTTCTTGGGTCTGACTGTTTGTATGCAGAATGCACTTAAGGAAGAAAACAATACCTTCCCTCTACTTTATCATGGAATCACTTAGCAGAATGATAGTGCTTTAGAAAGAAAATACTGATCGTATCAGCTCTTAGTTAAGGGAATTCTGTTTACTAATTAAAATCATGTGTAAAGATAAGTGGAAACTCCTATCACTTAAAACACATGCAATTCTTTTTTAATTCTTTTGAAAGTTAAAAACAACAACAAACAAACAAACAAACAAAAAAACCCACACAACACACACAGCCTCCAGAAGAGCAGACTACAAGTATGTTCTCTACACCACACAGCAGAGGAGTAATAAACTCACAATGCATGGCATCCAAAATAGTAATAGTTTACTTTGGAATCAACAAATATACATTAGAAAGGGAAAAGAAAAAGGAAAAGAAGGACATTTCATCTGCCAAGTAGAGTTGCATTGTTCAACCAAAAAGAAAGCTCAGTTGAGATTCAGTCAGTTCTCGTGTGGGGTGAAAAAAGGGGATGAGAAGACTCTTGCATTAAGATCTCTCTGAGTCTCTAGAAATAGTTTTCCCTAATTGTACTCCTATGCACAGGCCCAAAGGCAAACAAAAAACTCCACAGAGCTATATAGAAACAGTGTGTCTCCCCCACACACAGGGGATTACAGAAGGAGAACTGACCATGTCCCTGTCCCCAAATTTTATCTGGCCTCTCAGCTTTTAGGCCATTGAAGGGGAAACCTGCCGAGAGCTGTTTGTCCTCAGTTTCACTAAAAAGGGGGACTGAATCTTACAAAAGTAGCCGAGTGTCTGCTCCTACGGCCCCTTCCATGTCACCAACTTGTTAGCAAAGCAGTTTACTGGTATGTCTGAGTGTATTTTTCTGGAACAATGTAATGGAGAAATCTGTTCCAATTCAAAAGAGATTGGCCAGTGGGAATCATTCCATTTGCCATACCTATTAGCTTTTCTTTAGGAAATAAAATTCAAAAAGAGCACCCAGAATTTTTTTAAAAAACCTTTCCTCTATTAAAATAAATAAAATAGTCTAAGTCTTTAACCTCCCCAAGTTTCTAGGCACCCGTGAACCAAGTCCTCTGAGTTTACGGGTCGCGTGTGTGCAGCTCCAACACCGTGCATTCACACATTTGTGTTTTTATCTGCTCCCTCTCATTCTCTCAACTCAAAATCCTGTTTCCCTTAGGAGGGGGAAAAAAAGAACTACATATGTTTTCTCCAGATAACTAAGTCACTCAAGTTATAGAAATTTGAAATGTATGTCTAAAAGATTTTCAAAGCACAAGCTGGAAAAATACTGTGGAGATTTAACAAAGCTGGGTATAGGCATATGTGGTCATTAAATTTTTTAAATTCTTTGGAGTTTGGCCTTGGGCAAGATGTTAGTGGGTTGCTACTTTACTTGGGTTTTATTTTGAAAGAAAATTTCTATAAAATACATGAGAACTGTAGCCTGGTGGTGGATCAAGTTCGGAGGCTCCAGGTTCTTTATTACATTTCTCTAATGAAGAGCTTCATGTCCTATAGTATTGAAATACAGAACATTCCCGCTGCTTTCGTTTCTCTTCAGCTGCATCCTACGAAGTCCTGCCAGCAGCAGGGGTGAAGGAGCAAGCTGGATTTCTGTCCCCCCACCCTTTTTTAAAGGACCGTACATAACTGTGTCATGGAAGGTTAATAAACCTACTCAAATTAGGAGACAATAAAGTTAAACTGAAAATCCGAGTCTCATAAAACTAGCAAACATGCCTAAAAGCAAAATTATCTTTTTTCTTTCTTCCCTTTAGCTTTTCTAAAAACAGAATTAAGGGAATGTAAAATAATTTCTATGTAGCTGACGATTACTGACAAAGAAATGCCCGGCTTTTTCTTCTCTGGTGGTTTTGTATGGTGGGGGGGGCTTGAGAAAAAAAAGGATAAAAATTAATTTTGGAGGGGTAAGTCGAGAGGGAAAACCCAACTCACTGAATTAGTGAGGGAGTCGGCTAAATCTGCAAATAAAGTGTTCTTGGGACATTTTATTTCTAATGTGGGGCGATCCCCCAACACCGAGGCACGGACGGCTGCTCAGAACTTGACAATTCTGCTCTCCTGCACTTTTTTAAAGCAGTAAAAAGTGCCGAGGGCCGCCTCGGGGTCAGCCGGCAGCCCCTCGGCGTGCCCGCTGGTGTGGGTCCACACGGATCCTCTGCACACACACGCACGACGTGCACACCACACTCGCAGGGGCGAGCACACTTTCCATAACCAGGCTCCTTCAAATCCTGCTCCTCCGCCATGTAGTTGCTTGTCAAAATGGGGAGAGAAATCACATTTTTGAAGAAAGCGCTGCGGAGACTCGGTCCCCATTGTCTCTCCCCGCGAGAGGGAGAAAAACAAAACCCCGGGAAGGAAAGCAAAGCCTCCATCTCACCTGGCCTGCGCCTCGTCCAAACTCTGGTCGGTGATGGTCATGATCTGCTGTAAGATGTCTCCGATGTCCTGCTTCCTCCCGCCCTCCCCCTCGGCGCCGCCGGCCCCGTCCGCCAAGTGCTGGGACAGGCCGGGGTGCCCGGCCATGCCGACCCCGGCGTGGGAGTGCATCAGCCGGGGCTGCTCGTCCATCTCCGCAGGCAGGCAGCCCGGCTCTCGGCGCGGCGCCTGGCTCGGCCCGGGAGCACCGAGGCTTATCCTTCCAGCTGCCTCCGGGTCCTTTTCAGGATGACCAGGGACGGGAGAGAGACCCAAAGAAAAAATGCTTCGCCTCTTTAGAGGCTGGTGGGAGGCTGGGGCGCGGGGAGGGGGAGGGGGCGCGAGGGGGTGGCGGGGTGAGGGTGGGGATCAGAGCGGCTGGGGAAGGGTGTTGACTCCAAAAAGCAGGAAAAATAAACCTCCTTCCCACTTGGCGGAAAGAAGCCCGAGCTGGCTGTGGGTTTCAGTGCGACCTCCGGGGCCAGGCAGAAAGGGGCTCCCGGCGCTTAAATCGCGGCTTGATCCTTTTGCAAATATGCACGGATCGGGAGAAAGGAGGGGAGGCAGGGGGATGGCCAGGCAAACTTTCCCCCACCCCCGCGGCCCCCGCCCCCACTCCGGGCCGGAGCGGTCTCGAAGGGGGTGGGCTGTGGCCAGAGCCGGCTTCCCGGCCGCCGGCAGGCGCAGCCCCGCTCTCTCCTCCTCCGCGTCTCGGCAAACTCCGCGGCCCCGTCAGCCTCTGCTTTTGTTTAGCTCAGGCTCAGGACTCCAGAAACATACACAGAGAACCACAGCC